AGGAGTAGATGAAAATGAAACAATTTTAAAAGTTAGTAGATGAGTTTGAAAGAAAATAAAGATTCTAAACTAAAATGAAAAAAGAATAATAGTTGATAGACTATTTCTTAAATTAAGCCCAAAAAATACAAAGGAAACAAAATTGCGGCTAAGCTAATTAAATGCCAATGATAAATCCACGATGAAGAAATGCTCAGGGTTCTACTAATATCAAGATCATCGTAAAAATATCTATTGCCATTTCAAAGGCTACAATCCCATGTTATTTTGAGATAGCTAAGCACCAACTTTGATAAACAAAAAATAGACCATGTTATTCTTAACATGCATCTAATGTTGCACAGTGTTCGCCAAACTTTATCAGAAACTCATACAATACCAGATAGATTAAATATCTTGTTGCAGAGAAATGATTTGCTTGAGGATTTGCACCACAGAACTAAAAATGCTTCAGCTTCACATTTCCATTGACAAAGAAATGATGCTAGAATTATTACATACATACACCTGCAGCATCTAACCGCAGCAGGTAATACAGCTAACAAAAGGAAAAGAGATAGCTAGGAAAACAAGGCATGAAAAGCAAGGAGGCTCACTAGTCAATAGCGGATGCAAAGGCATGGTCAAAGTTTCTCCTCAATCACCTGCCAAGTGTCAAAATTTATTAGTCTAACAGCAGGAGGATGTTAAGTTTCAGCTCTGAGCAGAGGCAGCAGGATTAGTACTTGGAAATGTTGCCAAACCACTGTTGTTATCTGGGTTCACAAATTCTTCACTGGCATGCCGAACAAACTCTTCAGGAGACATGTGGGAACCATGACAAGCACAAACAATCCTGATCTGGTTCGTGCTGTATCTGTAAGTAACACCAGAAATGATTCTGCCATGTGGGCCAGATCCAGTGGTTGAAACCCAAGGTAAATTTGGTGGGTAGCTACCAGATCCCCCAAATTTCAGGTCTGCAGCAATACCAGGCTTAATAGCTGAAAAATCAATAGAGAGTCCTTCAATTGATGTTCTATCTGCTGAATTATTTGGCCTGAAATTCATGCTGCTTCCTCTCACATCTGCTTCAGCTCGAGATGAAGAGCCTTCCTCCGTGGTATGCTGTTTACCTTCACCCCTGGGTCGCTCCAATGCCCTCCCCTCATATTGTGTAGCCTCGGATGAACTACGTGCGATGGCTTGCATGGGACCTGAATTCAAACAAAAGGATGTGAAATTAAACTCATATCCAATCATTTGCCTTGACTAATTTATTTTGTGTCCTTGGCTGGGAAGAAAGTAATATAGAGCAAAGTGCATTTGGTACCATCATTTTTTGTTATGTGATGTCTTCATGATGGTTTAGAGCTCTCCGTAAGGTATAGAAGAAAAATATAGGAGAATATTGAACATTATCATACAAAAGTATCTCCATCCATGAAATTTTTTTGACACTAACAAATAAGAAAATGAGTGAAGTAGAAAACCTTGAGATATTTTCAATCCATCATTGTGCTTCTCAGAGTTAAGTGACCCTCTACCAGGATAGGAAGGATGGAACTGTGTAGGAGGAGAGACCATTCCCCAGGGATGATCCTTATCCAAAGTGGGAAGTTGAATAGATGAATAGCCAAACATAACTGGCAAATTCCCGGGGTTGGAAGACTGAGCTCCCAACTGTTCCATGGTTGTAGTAGGCATTATCTGCATCATGCCAGCAAGTGGATGACCTGATGAGCTGGGTGTTCCAGCAGAGTTAGCATCTTTGACAGATATTTGGTAAGCTTGATTCAGTACGTTTACTGATTGAACAGGGAATGGATTGCCATAGGTCACACTTCCAAGCCTAAAATTATTCTCCGACGACATGTTAAACCTTTTTTGTCCATGTGCATCTGCAACATTTGAATCAGAATACACATGAACCTCCTTTGCAATCTCAGAGGAACCACTAATTGCAATAAATTGCTTAGACCCATCATCATGGTGTGAAACCCGCTTTGAAGTTGAACCCACCACTTCAGAATCTGCCACATCTTCATTTTCAGCGGTGGAACCATCATCCGTTGTTATGGAGATGTGTGATGTTTTTGACTTCTCACGTAAATCAGCATGGTGAGCTTCCCTTTCATGCTTCTTTTGATTGTTGATCTCATCAAATGATATTTTGCGTTTGCTACCTGATTCTGACCATTTTTCATCATCAATATCAGAAGACCTGTTACTGTGGGTGCCCCAGACACCTTTACCATTCAAGTTTGCAGAAGCATCAGCATCAACATTGGCTTTGGAAAGATCATTGAAGAATTTTTCTGCAGGTTTCCCCAAATCACTTCTCTGAGACCCTGGACCAGAGTCCTGTTTCTGGGTGCCTGCATGAATAAAGTTTTTAAAACCATTTACCATTCTGCTCCCTGTATCACCTTCTTTTTTCCTAATATCTGAACAGCTACCATTCTTACCTTTTGATTTTGCAGATGATGCACCACAAGAAAGACCCAAGCTCAGCTCAAGTCCATTCTCATCTTCCATTTTATATAATCAAAGAACAGCACAAAGAGTTGAGTATAACCTCTATCAAAACTTTCTATAGGCTATCCATGAAATCATTGATCTTAACATAACCTCAACATAAAGATGTTACCATCAAAAATTGATCTACCAGCAACAAAGTCAATCTTTATAAGGAAATAGACAAGCGAAAAAGGAAACTAGATTCCGGGAATACTACCATATGCTAAAAGAAACCTACGTCACACAGAAGAGCGGGAAAATTATGGAGGCAAATGGTTACTCCATGGAAGCTGTGGTCAAAGACTCAAATAATTTCCCCAGAATATAAAAGTCCTGCCATTCAATTATAACAGCAACACGTAAGTAGTGTACAGTATTCAAACAAATTTTCAAGCTACGTAATTTGATGTTCAGTAACTAGCTAGTACACAAAGCAGCTTAAAGAACTCTGAAACCATCTCATATGAATTGAGACAGAATGAAACCGCCAGACACCATTTTTTCCAAAGAGTGCAGGTAAAACAGAGATTAAAAAAAAAAAAAATTCAAACTTCAACAGATACACAGACCCATAACATAAATCACTGATGAAAAACGGTCCTTTGGCAGTTACATCTACATGACACAACTTAGCAACAATGCAAATTAGTCTTTTAAATGAAAAAACCATGAACCCCAATCTGTATAAATTTTCTTTCTAGTTTTCAATTAACAGCAGACAATAAGTAAGCCCAGATCTGACCGCGAACAAATCAAACATGCAAGCACAAAGATCAATGAAATCAAGAACACC